AGACCCACAGTTGATCTATACTTACTGACAGGGCCAGGCGTCCTGTTTGCTACCCAGTAGTAAAACGTTGGATAGACTATGACCAGTGTGCTGAGTCATATAGACCCACAGTTGATCTATACTTACTGACAGGGCCAGGCGTCCTGTTTGCTACCCAGTAGTAAAATGTTGGATAGACTATGACCAGTGTGCTGAGAGTCATACAGACCCACAAGGCCATCACTTTCGGAAACTTTCCTAGTGTCCATTTCATTAACCCAAAGTCAAGGTTTAGTCTGTAAAGTAAATTTGTATTTCAACAAAAGAAAATAGGCTGGAGTTCACAAAGCTATATATGCATGTATAAATACCCATACAAAACTATTATTAAATTTATTATCTAATATACAGAATTTCTTTTCATATAAAAATGTCAAATTTGAGCACAAAATTTCAATCAAATGCAGTTATTTGACCTTTGACCCCTTGTATTCTAGTTCTATTGTTCTATCAATAATATGTTTAAATGCAATGGTTATCAGCATTTGTTATCTGAGTTCTTGTCCTGGTTGCAGATAGCCTCTCCCATCAAAATCTAATGGTACTGTCATATCTTATAGTTCCTGTGAAGTTATTGTTTCTTTCTATGTGCTGTCTATCATCTATCACACAACATAGTCTATATCAGTTTTCTTCAAATTCAACCTATACACTTACCTCCCTTCATTGACGAGATCATACACAAATGTGTTCAGGCTAAACACAATTAATATGGCCACAAAGATATGGTAGATTGTCCTAATGTGGCTAATTTCAAATAACTCCCTGTAAATATACAAACAAGGCATCATCACATCACCAACAAATACTAACTCCCTGTAAATATACAAAAAAGGCATCACCACATCACCAACAAAACTAGGTCCCTGTAACTATACAAACAAGGCATCACCACATCCCCAACAAAAACTAACTCACTGTAAATATACAAACAAGGCATCACCACATCACCAACAAAACTAGGTCCCTGTAAATATACAAACAAGGCATCACCACATCACCAACAAAAACTAACTCCCTGTAAATATACAAAAAAGGCATCATCACATCACCAACAAAACTAACTCACTGTAAATATACAAACAAGGCATCACCACATCACCAACAAAACTAACTCCCTGTAAATATACAAATAAGGCATCACCACATCACCAACAAAACTAACTCCCTGTAAATATACAAATAAGGCATCACCACATCACCAACAAAACTAACTCCCTCTAAATATACAAACAAGGCATCATTCCATCACCAAGGAAAACTAACTCCCTGTAACTATACAAACAAGGCATCATCACATCACCAACAAAATCTAACTCCCTGTAAATATACAAACAAGGCATCATCACATCACCAAGGAAAACCAACTCCCTGTAAATATACAAACAAGGCATCATCACATCACCAACAAAAACTAACTCCCTGTAAATAGACAAACAAGGCATCACCACATCACCAACAAAACCACCTCCCTGTAAATATACAAACAAGGCATCACCACATCACCAACAAAACCACCTCCCTGTAAATATACAAACAAGGCATCATCACATCACCAACAAAAACTAACTCCCTGTAAATATACAAACAAGGCATTATCACATCACCAAGGAAAACTAACTCCCTGTAAATATACAAACAAGGCATCACCACATCACCAATAATAAGTTTCTATTGCAGTTCAGTAACTTTTCTCGTTTCTTAAGACAGATGATTGTTTTACGATATCAATGAACACTACTAAACTAGAATTGTTGGATTTATGGCTTCCAGGACTATGCAATGTATTACAAAAATGATTAAGTATGTGTAAAATCAAATCAACAATCTTTAGATTTCTTACATCATGAAAACTTCATTAGACTTGTGCCACTGGTTTCCTATAAAGAGGAACAGTAAATCCAGAATAGTGCACACATTTACTAGAATCAAAACATATCAAATTTATTAGGTTCGAAGTAGATCACAGTGATTCTGGGGTGATCATGAATAAATTCAATTAAATGGCAGCAAATAAAAGCCATGTGAATGTCAGACAATATTGTTTTACATACGTGAGCATGGATCTACGCAGATGGAACACTTTGTCAGGAAGTTCTCCCGTGTGACGCCTCTTCCTGAAAATATTGAAATGATAACTATACAGCATGATATCAACTGTACCTTTCTGTGTACGTACATAATTCAAAAAATGAGATTTTATGGTTATGCTGCGCCTTGATTTAATTCCCAAAAATCAAAAAATTACTATGATAATGAAAATTGTATAGTTCATCCAAATTTTACATATAAATTCTTAAGCAAACCAAAACCATAATAGCATTGTTAGAAACGTATTGACCAGCATGGAAAATAAAAATAAAATAAAAAAAATAATCATGAAACTGCTTAAATTTGAGATCATTCTATATTTTCAAAATAATCTTTATTTGAACAGCCATACTTTCTAAAACATTAGTTGAAATCGTAAAAAATTGTTTTATTAAACTATATGTTATGAAATCACCTCTGGAGTTGAAACAGATTATAAATTGAAAAACTGAACTCCATAACATTTGATAGGAAATGTTAAATTACATAATATAACTTAAAGTAGAATAGAAAATGTTTGTAAAATATAAATAAGCCCCCACTCTTGTTTTGATAGAAATTGAGCTATACACAAATATATCAAATTTAGTTTAGCAGAAAATATAGGTGAAAATGGCATATATACACTTAACATATTGGCGTAGTACCCCTAAAGATGTGTGATTTATACCTGTTATTACCATACCCCGGATTAAACTGTTTGTTTTGACCTCACAGTTATAAGATACATGTACTTGAAAAGTAAGCAACGATGTTAGAAGTATTTATGAACAATTTGAATTTGTGAATGAAAGTCAGCTTTTTATTAAAGCAAAACCCAGTGATTAATTAAAACTAAAAACAAGTTAGTTATCTTTAGAAGTCCTATAACTGTTGTTATTTAGAGAACCTTGCCATTTTGAAGTTGACTGTTGATGAACAAGTTCTGACATCAATAATCTATTATTTCATTGGACCACAAACAAACTTTGATATGGGTTAATTTCAACATTAAACATACTCCCTGAAAATAGTACACAAAATACATACAGTCAACACCACAAACTTGTCGTCTTACAGACAGAGAGTAAGTTAGGACTGCTGAATATCAAAGATATGGTTTGGAATTTGAACACTATAAATTGTCCTCCTTCAGAAAGAGAGTTTGGGATGCTCAATATCAAAGCCCTTTATTGTATGAAATTCATCATCTTTTTAATTTTTTAAGCTGAAATATTATAAAAGGCTGTTATCTTGAGGTTATCAATATTCTAACAAGCCCTGGCCCCAGGAAACAGATCTGGAGGGTATCAGTATATAATTATCATATCAATACCCTTGTCTGGAGGAACAGATCTGGAGGGTATCATGTATAATTATCATATCAATACTCTTGTCTGCAGGATCAGATCTGGAGGGTATCAGTATATAATTATCATATCAATACTCTTGTCTGGAGGAACAGATCTGGAGGGTATCAGTATGTAATTGTCATATCAATACTCTTGTCTGCAGGAACAGATCTCGAGGGTATCATGTATAATTATCATATCAATACTCTTGTCTGGAGGAACAGATCTGGAGGGTATCAGTATGTAATTGTCATATCAATACTCTTGTCTGCAGGAACAGATCTGGAGGGGATCAGTATATAATTATCATATCAATACTCTTGTCTGGAGGAACAGATCTGGAGGGGATCAGTATGTAATTATCATATCAATACTCTTGTCTGCAGGAAACAGATCTGGAGGGTATCAGTATATAATTATCATAACAATACCCTTGTCTGGAGGAACAGATCTGGAGGGTATCAGTATGTAATTATCATATCAATACTCTTGTCTGCAGGAACAGATCTGGAGGGTATCAGTATATAATTATCATATCAATACTATTGTCTGGAGGAACAGATCTGGAGGGTATCAGTATGTAATTATCATATCAATACTCTTGTCTGCAGGAAACGGATCTGGAGGGTATCAGTATATAATTATCATATCAATACTATTGTCTGCAGGAACAGATCTGGAGGGTATCAGTATATAATCATCATATCAATACTCTTGTCTGCAGGTACAGATCTGGAGGGTATCAGTATATAATTATCATATCAATACTATTGTCTGCAGGAACAGATCTGGAGGGTATCATGTATAATTATCATATCAATACTCTTGTCTGGAGGAACAGATCTGGAGGGTATCAGTATTTAATTATCATATCAATACTCTTGTCTGCAGGAAACAAATCTGGAGGGTATCAGTATATAATTATCATATCAATACTCTTGTCTGCAGGAATAGATCTGGAGGGTATCAGTATATAATTATCATATCAATACTCTTGTCTGCAGGAACAGATCTCGAGGGTATCAAAATAAACGTAAGTATTTTTGTCTGCATGAATAGATCAAGATTTCTGCCTTCACTTATAAGTAAGAAAATCTTGAGGATATCAATGGTGTTACATTGTCAGAAGTTGTCCGCAGACTTAGAGTCTAGAGCAGATTTGTGAAATAATGAAAAATGTGCAACCTTGACCAATTGCAAAATGAGGAAGAAAAATTATTTGAACCATTAAAAAAGATAACCCACATTAAATTTTGTGTAAGGGGTAAGTTTAAGCTTAGCATAAAACACTGGAAATTTGTGTGTTGTGGTTCTTTTGAAAGTGTTGCATTTAAGAAAATTAGAAAATTTTATGGTGCAAGAAAAGTATGTGACAAAAGAGTTATCAACAAGTTACTGACACAACCAGCAACACCATGTATTAGTAATATTAAAGGGTTCAGATTTAAACAAATATTATTCATCAACATGCATATGATTGCATTAGGAAGCTAATCCAATGTTTCCTATTGTTTTAGTAGAAGATCAGCACCAAGGACTTATGTCTGTGGAAGGCTGACAGACCCTACGCTGTAGGATGTGTAACCTAGGTTTATCCTGCCATTAATCAAGCTAGGGCCGTCTTATCTTCATGATACAATCAATATCTAGGCTCACAGGGAAAATGCAATTCACCTCATTCACATTGACGATTCCTACCATAACAATAATTTTCAATAATTCAAACAGGGTTTTTAAAGAGGAATGTGTCGAGATTCGAGAAGTTTCTTTCATCATACTGCTTGTTTTACTAATTTTAAGAATGGCTTGTAGATTCAGGAACACATATAACTTGACTCTATACCGTAAGGTGAACAGTACCTGGGACACCAACCCTGGGCCTACAAGACAGAAAGTTATAGCAGTGGATGTTAGACCACGAAGCCCTTCATCCAGGCCTAACGCGGAAATAATCTCACACACACGTTAATGCAGGGACATGTAGCTGTTAGTTTGGAAAATTTAATCTAAGGAAATAAGCTGGAAGAAAATACTCTCAAAAAGTAAGTGAATTATATATACATCACCACAGCTGACTACCAATACGTACAGATGGGGAGCTTTAGGAGCTCTATACTGGGATAAAGTGCTGTAACAGACAGGGTACACATCACACACAAACAATAGCACTGGCCTATAGCTATAATGTTACAGGTTTAAATCTAGTCTTGTCAACCTAGTTTTAGTGCTTTTGTCGAAGTTATATAGTTTTACTTACCTAGTTCTATTCCTAATAGACTCAGTTTTACTGACCTAGTTCTATTCCTAATAGACTCAGTCTTATTGACCTAGTTTAAATTTTTCAGGTCTAGTAAATATTTCTGCATCATTCTAGTTCTACTATCCTAAATCTAACAGGTCTACCTCTCATAGTTGTAGAGGATATCTGCCTACTTCTAATTGTGGTCAAACTTTACTGGACTAATTCTAGTTTTACTTACCTGGTAAAGGTGTACTGACCCCATTTACCTGGCCTTAGTTACTCTATATACACTAACCTAGTTATACTTTTACTGGACTAATTCTAGTTTTACTTAACTGGTAAAGGTGTAGCTGACCTCCACCTCATTTACCTGGCCTTAGTTACTCTATATACACTAGCCTAGTTATACTTTTCCTGGACTAATTCTAGTATTACTTACCTGGTAAAGGTGTACTGACCTCATTTGCCTGGCCCTTAGTTACTCTATTAACACTAGCCTAGTTATACTTTTACCGGACTAATTCTAGTTTTACTTACCTGGTAAAGGTGTACGGACCTCCTCATTTGCCTGGCCCTTTGTTACTCTATTTACACTAGCCTAGTTATACATTTACCGGACTAATTCTAGTTTTACTTACCTGGTAAAGGTGTACTGACCTCCACATTTACCTGGCCCTTAGTTACTCTATATACACTAGCCTAGTTATACTTTTACCAGACTAATTCTAGTTTTACTTACCTGGTAAAGGTGTACTGACCTCCTCATTTACCTGGCCTTAGTTACTCTATTTACACTAGCCTAGTTATACTTTTACTGGCCTAATTCTACTTTATTAGAATCGTTCAACAACATGACCTGTAACTAGTTCATTAGTCATGAATTTACTGACCTGGTTGTAGGTAAGGGAAAACTTTGTTTTAATAAATTTCTGTACCATTCCATGGTTCACATTTATAGGTATACATAACACTAACTATAGGTCTACTTAAAAATACAAGCCTTTGACCAACTTAATCACTGCGCCTTGTGTTAAATCAATAATGTTCTCGGCTATTTTTAGCTTAGTAACACCATTATACCTGTACAGTAGATTGTTTCAGCAAATATTTTGCTAAGCTAGATGAACCGAAGTCCACTTTAACGTAAGCCCAATCAGACAACTTCAAGTATTTTATCCTGTATGTTCCTATATTTGCTTGAAGTGATCAAACAATATCATTTTTTGTTGGTTTACTATTCATGATGAACAGTCTCTGTCATTGAAAGTACTTCACTGAGTTTTCCACCTCTAGTTTACATACCCTTTAAACGTACCTCACTGTCCTATATATATATGTCTGTCAATATTGACACAATGCTTAACGAGTGAAATCTGTATTGTAGATCCTGTCTATAATTATCTGATATCAAAACTGACATAGAAGTAAGTGACAAGGATTTTTTTGTATGAAGTATCCTTGATAAAAAATGGGTTAAAAACAATTACAGTGAATTGTATTAAAACAACGTTATAACTTCTAAACATTGGGATCATGCCATTTATTACTAATTTTGTCAGATGAACAGAAACATAACGGCATACGGATCCTACATTTGTCAATGTCCACTTAAGTTACTACAGTGTCATCAGAAACAGTCCACAATGAACAAACAACAAAGAATGTCGAGCGTAGACTCAGCCTCTACCTACTCTGCTTTGGAGGGGAAGGATGTGTAATTGTCATTGGCGTCACCATTGTGTCCCAGATGTTCCACTTCTGTCACAAAGTCCTGCAGCAACTGTTCCAACTCCGAGCTCAGCTGCTGGACCACATCTTTCTTAAGTTTCTGTAGCAACAAGTATTTCTGATCACCTAGCCGTTTGATTACTTACCATTTAAATTAGATACACACTCAAAACATGTCAAAATATCAAAGGGACTGCTATCATGATGTCATGAATATAAGAGTAAAGCCAGTTTTAAATTGAACAAATAACAGAAGTAAGTTATATGTATGACATTTAATTAGCGACATCTATACATATATAATATAAATATTATATATGTATAGATTTCTATATAATATGAACATACATAGCATCCATCATAGTAGCTGTGCAGGTTTTCTGCAACAGATTACTACAATAATATTAGATTCAAGTGCAAGGATATAATACATATCTGTGCGAACTTTGTCGCAACAGATAGACCGTTTATACTGCATTGCAAACCTAATCAAGAGAGCTTAACATTTTTTTTTATTTTGACCTTGTCACTACCCTTTGACTCCAACTGGTTAGCACATACAGCTTATTTGACCAGATGTCGGCAGGGTAGCTATGTGACAGAACTTATAACATTTTATTATAAGTCCTTATATTTGAAAATTAAAATTGTATAATTGTCCCAATTATTTAGTAATATGAATTTTTTTTGGGAAAAGCCAGTACAATCTGATTATAAAAATCTTAATTAAAGCAAATGAGCAATAAGATGATGGCTGATGTCAATAACTGTGGGCTTTAGCTATATATACATACACAGATGAACTTTGAGGATCCTACATGTTACACCATTTCGGGGTGTGTTTTGAAACTGAAAGAAAACATTCTTTGAACAAATTGTCACTGGAAAATGATTTAGTACAATCCAAAACAAAGGCTATCAATATATACCTGGGTCTGGTTTTTTATCCGCTCAGCAAGAATCTGTCGGCGTAACACATCCTCGGTGCCAGATACACCTGAAACATTCAAACAACACATAGAGAAAATTTAATGTTTGTTTTATATATCTCCTAGAAGTTAATTATCTATAAAATGTTGTTACAAAGGTAGATTAGTATTCAACTTGTACCATGATAAATTAATTAACAGATTCTTTTTTAAAACATTGAATCTTATTTTTCCGCTAAATTGATCAATTTGAAAAACAACTTTTGAATACCGGTAAGTTGTTTATGAAATGCCTTGTGTATTTTTTTAAATTTGAAGCAGGGGATTCATAATACATTTTGTATATCAACAAAATTAATTATCCTGTTCCTACCAAATCTGTAGAGATTTGGCATCCTGGTTCATAAGAAGAAGTCATTTGAGTTTGTACATATGTATACATGTATATATTTAGAACTGTTAACTTCATACTTCAGCAATCTACATACTGAATAGGATGACAGTAGCCATCTTGGTCTTTCATTGTTTTTTAGAAAGGGTCATTTGAAGTTTTTAACATTGATATTTGTGATCCTGAATGTGAATCAAGGTCATTTGGTTTTTGCAGGTTGACAGCCTCTACTTTATATATATCAAAGCAAAGCAATAGGCTGAATATCATGATTCTAAAGTTTTGTTGTTCTAAATAAAAATTACTATAAATATTTTTTGTCACACATCAGAACGTGAACACCTCATAAACGTCTTACTTAATAGTATTACAATCTTATCAAGCAATCTTAATTAATGCTGCCACACACAGGCAGTTATCAGCATATTTTTTTTTTACACAATCCTGATTGCTACCTAAGTTATACCAAATGATGGCTATCAGACACATGAACTGCCTAACTTTAATACCTGATTAATCTACCCTACACATGACTCAAAGATCTGATAACCATATCTGTGACCTAGCTTGAACTTCAGTAAAGATCTGAAGTTTTTGGAGCTTGATAGGCTTTTTTTGCAAACTGCAAGCTGAATAATATGACTTATAAAGTCCCTGAATAAAAAATAGATTTGATAAAGACTTTTATACAGTACATCAGGCCCCCAGTGTTAGAGCACTACAGAAATGTGGTAACCAATCACCAGTTCTGTCACACAGAGCTATCAGTTGTTTATTGTTTACACCATAACGAGTGCTAATACTGACCGATATGTTAGATACAACATCTAGCAAACCAGTGTCTGAATCTACCTAAAATAACACTCTAGTATGACTAATATGTCAGATACAACATCTAGCAAACCAGTGTCTGAATCTACCTAAAATAACGCGCTAGTATGACTAATATGTCAGATACAACATCTAGCAAACCAGTGTCTGAATCTACCTAAAATAACACTCTAGTATGACCGATATATCATATACAATCTCTAGCTAACCAGTGCCCGAATCTACCTAAAATAACACTCTAGTATGACCGATATGGCAGATACAACAACTAGCTAACCAGTGCCTGAACCTACCTAAAGTAACACTCTAGTATGACTGATTTATCAGATACAACATCTAGCTAACCATGAGTGCCTGATTCTACCTAAAGTACCACTCTAGTATGACTGATATATCAGATACAACATCTAGCTACCCAGTGCCTGAATCTACCTAAAGTAACACTCTAGTATGATCGATATAATACTGACCGATATGTTAGATACAACATCTAGCAAACCAGTGTCTGAACCTACCTAAAATAACACTCTAGTATGACCGATATGTGAGATACAACAACTAGCTAACCAGTGCCTGAACCTACCTAAAGTAACACTCTAGTATGACTGATATCCCAGATACAACATCTAGCTAACCAGTGCCTAAATCTACCTAAAGTAACACTCTAGTATGATCGATATGTCAGATACAACATCTAGCTAACTAGTGCCTGAATCTACCTAAAATAACACTCTTGTATGACCGATATGTCAGATACAACATCTAGCTAACTAGTGCCTGATTCTACCTAAAATAACACTCTAGTATGACCGATATATCATATACAATCTCTAGCTAACCAGTGCCCGAATCTACCTAAAGTAACACTCTAGTGTGACTGATATATCAATTACAACATCTAGCTACCCAGTGCCTGAATCTACCTAAAATAACACTAATATGACCGATATGTCAGATACAACAACTAGCTAACCAGTGCCTGAACCTACCTAAAGTAACACTCTAGTATGACTGATATATCAATTACAACATCTAGCTAACCAGTGCCTGATCTACCTAAAGTAACACTCTAGTATGACTGATTTATCAGATACAACATCTAGCTAACCATGAGTGCCTGATTCTACCTAAAGTAACTCTCTAGTATGACTGATATATCAGATACAACATCTAGCTACCCAGTGCCTGAATCTACCTAAAGTAACACTCTGGTATGACTGATATATCAGATACAACATCTAGCTAACCAGTGCCCGATTCTACCTAAAATAACACTCTAGTATGACCGATATGTGAGATACAACAACTAGCTAACCAGTGCCTGAACCTACCGAAAATAACACTCTAGTATGACCGATATGTGAGATACAACAACTAGCTAACCAGTGCCTGAACCTACCTAAAGTAACACTCTAGTATGACTGATTTATCAGATACAACATCTAGCTAACCATGAGTGCCTGATTCTACCTAAAGTACCACTCTAGTATGACTGATATATCAGATACAACATCTAGCTAACCAGGAGTGCCTGATTCTACCTAAAGTAACACTCTAGTATGACTGATATGTCAGATACAACAACTAGCTAACCAGAGCCTGAACCTACCTAAAATAACACTCTAGTATGACCGATATATCATATACAATCTCTAGCTAACCAGTGCCCGAATCTACCTAAAATAACAAGTAACACTCTAGTATGATCGATATGTCAGATACAACATCTAGCTAACTAGTGCCTGATTCTACCTAAAATAACACTCTAGTATGACCGATATATCATATACAATCTCTAGCTAACCAGTGCCCGAATCTACCTAAAATAACACTCTTGTATGACCGATATGTCAGATACAACATCTAGCTTCTAGCTAACCAGTGCCCGAATCTACCTAAAATAACACTCTTGTATATATGTTAGATACAACATCTAGCAAACCAGTGTCTGAACCTACCTAAAATAACACTCTAGTATGACCGATATGACAGATACAACATCTAGCTAACCAGTGTCTGAATCTACCTAAAGTAACACTCTAGTATGATCGATATGTCAGATACAACATCTAGGTATGACTGATATATCAGATACAACATCTAGCTACCCAGTGCCTGAATCTACCTAAAGTAACACTCTGGTATGACTGATATATCAGATACAACATCTAGCTAACCAGTGCCCGATTCTACCTAAAATAACACTCTAGTATGACCGACATGTCAGATACAACATCTAGCTAACCAGTGCCCGATTCTACCTAAAATAACACTCTAGTATGACCGATATGACAGATACAACATCTAGCTAACCAGTGTCTGAACCTACCTAAAATAACACTCTAGTATGACTGATATGTCAGATACAACAACTAGCTAACCAGAGCCTGAACCTACCTAAAATAACACTCTAGTATGACCGATATGGCAGATACAACAACTAGCTAACCAGTGCCTGAACCTACCGAAAATAACACTCTAGTATGACCGATATGTGAGATACAACAACTAGCTAACCAGTGCCTGAACCTACCTAAAGTAACACTCTAGTATGACTGATATGTCAGATACAACAACTAGCTAACCAGAGCCTGAACCTACCTAAAATAACACTCTAGTATGACCGATATGTGAGATACAACAACTAGCTAACCAGTGCCTGAACCTACCGAAAATAACACTCTAGTATGACCGATACAACATCTAGCTAACCAGTGCCTGAATCTACCTAAAGTAACTCTCTAGTATGACTGATATATCAGATACAACATCTAGCTAACCATGAGTGCCTGATTCTACCTAAAGTAACACTCTAGTATGACTGATATATCAGATACACCATCTAGCTAACCAGTGTCTGAATCTACCTAAAATAACACTCTGGTATGACCGATATGTCAGACACAACATCTAGCTAACTAGAGCCTGATTCTACCTAAAATAACACTTTAGTATGACCGATATGTCACATACAACAACTAGCTAACCAGTGTCTGAATCCACCTAAAATAACACTCTAGTAGTATGACCGATATGTCACATACAACAACTAGCTAACCAGTGCCTGATCTACCTAAAGTAACACTCTAGTAGTGCTAATACTGACCGATATGTTAGATACAACATCTAGCTAACCAGGGTCTGAATCTACCTAAAATAACCCCCCAGTATGACCGATATGTCAAGTACAACATCTAGCTACCCAGTGCCCGAATCTACCTAAAGTAACACCCTAGTATGACTGATATATCAAGTACAACATCTAGCTACCCAGTGCCTGAATCTACCTAAAGGAAGACTCTAGTATGACCGATATGCCAGATACAACATCTAGCTAACAAGTGCCTGATTCTACCTAAAGTAACACTCTAGAATGACTGATATATCAATTACAGCATCTAGCTAACCAGTGCCCTAATCTACCTAAAATAACACCCAAGTATGACCGATATGTCAGACACAACATCTAGCTAACTAGAGCCTGATTCTACCTAAAATGGCACTCTAGTATGACCGATACAACATCTAGCTAACGAGTGCCTGAATCTACCTAAAGTAACAATCTAGTATGACTGATATATTAATTACAACATCTAGCTAACCAGTTCCTGAATCTACCTAAAGTAACCCTCTAGGATGACCGATATGTCAGATAGAACATCTAGCTAACTAGTGCTTGATTCTACCTAAAATAGCATTCTAGTATGACCGATATGTCGGATACAACATCTAGCTAACAAGTGCCTGATTCTACCTAAAGTAACACTCCAGTATGACTGATATATCAGATACAACATCTAGTTAACCAGTGCCCGAATCTACCTAAAGTAACGCTCTAGTATGACT